GAAACCCAGTGACCCTCTACACTACATCTCCCCTTTATGAATGCTGCTGCCAGACACCTTCACCTTACCAACCTCTCAGTGTCTGCCCCCCTTCTCTGCCAATCCCTCCACTGGCTTCTGATCGCCCAGCTAATTAAATTCAATATACTAACATACAAAGCCATTCACAACTTTTCCCCCAGTCCAAGATCTTACAACGTCAATCACTTTCCCATTCCCATCATCTTTTTTTATTGTGATTTGCACAATAAAAAAATAAAATGAAAAAAAGATGGTCATAATTGTACATGTCACTGGGTTGCTTGCCCTCTGACAGAGAACAGCAGCTCAGGCTGAAAAGTAAGAAGGTCTGGATGCCTCACCTTGCCAGCTTGCTTTGCATGTTGGCTTAATGTTGATTTTGACCAAAATGTCCTCTGTAGCCCTTTTCTTCCCGCAGTCGTAGGCGGTCACTGTAAGCTTGTACTGGCGCTCTTTACCGTAATTCAGCTTCTCTGTATTCTTGATGTAACCTGAAACATTGAGACAAAATGGCGTCATCTTATTTATAAAAAAAAAAAAATGATTAAAGAACTCATGCCTAAAACAATGTTTCAATAGTTTCTAAAGTCAGAGCTGTTTTACTCTCTAAAAACAATTTTCAATGTGTGTGAAGTGGGACAGTTACTCATGCAAATGGGTTGAACTGCTAAACTAGCCCACCAGAATCACCTAATCTGTGTCTGCCTTGCCTTCCCCAACCAGTGTCAGTTATGACAAGCACAGCAGGAGACATGAAAACCCCAAACACGTAATGCACTACCTGGAATTCAATAGAAAGGCTTTTTCTGAATCTCTAATGGGAATGCATCAAGAAGCCATCGTAGCCAACAGTGCAGCAGGCATCCTTTTCACAACACAGGTTGGATTTTAATCTCCAACCTGTCTCACATTTTAATAGAGAGATTCTGTCACAAAGGTCGTAGCAAACAAAGGATTTGCAGAACTGAACTGACACACCATACGGAGCTGGAAGTTTCTACACAGAGAAGCTTAGTGTGTGAAAGGCTTACACGGCACATGGAATACACTATTGTAGTGTCTGTGGTGCAGGGACGGGGGTTTGCTTCATAGTTACATCATGGGTATGAAACTTTTTTTTCTTTATTACTTTTTTTTTTTTAAGTAGAGATGGGTCAGAACCTCTTATGTTGTCACCACCTGATGCACAATCACATGCCCATCGCTTGGTAAACATGAGATTTACATTCAGAACCTGATAAACACACAATGGAATGACGCCGTCTGACATAATATACTGTGTCTGTAAACAAGGACCAGAAGGCAGGTTTGCTCTATCATGGAAGGAAGAGGGAAAAAAGAAATTAAAGGAAGGGGGAAGAAAGAAAAGGGAGGAAGGAAAGAAAACAAAAAAAAAAAAAAGGCAAAAGAGCAAGAAACAGAAAAGAAAAGAAATCATGAGGAAGGGTTAGGCACAGACTCCTCTCTAAAAAAAAAGAAACTTGGCTTACACTGTAGATAAAGAGAGAGGATTCTGGACATCAAAATAAATATAAAACATTTTAAATATTGAAATAAGCACTTTAAAAGGTAAACCATGCAAAGCAGAATATATAAGAAACACAATTCATGCAGTTAGGTATTCATTATTATTAAATATAATTAAAGTGACGCTAAACTCAGGAGTCAAATCTTAAAAATACATTAAAGTACCTCATCTATGAACAACAATGTATCTTATTTGTGTATCACTCGGCTGTAGATCCTCCAATCATCTCTGAATTGGTGCTGACACTGTCCTTCCTTCTGGAGGGGGGCTACTTGTGTTCCCCATGGTCCCTGTGTGTGTTGTACAGTAGTCACCGCTCCAAGCCCCCCCTCCCCCCCGGGGATGAACTACAATCTCATGTTCATTCATTTTACTGGAGCGGTGACTACTGTACAACACACACATGGACCATGGGGACCAAAAGTATCCCCCCTCCAGAAGGAAGGACAGTGTCAGCACCAATTCAGAGATGATTGGAGGATCTACAGCCGAGTGATACACATAAGATACATTGTTGTTCATAGTTAAGGTACTTGAATGAAACTTTAAAGTTTAACTCCTGAGTTTAGTGTCACTATAAAAGCTGAAATTCCCATGAGAGATTCTAATCTGCTTATATTTTGCCTTCCTTAGTTCATCCCTAACCAGTTCATCAACATAATAATGGCATTTTTAAATAAAATCTATTTTTATTACATATTTTATTTTACACCCAGTGACATCATCACTGGGTCCCTGGGCTTGTCTGTGTAATGCAAGCAGATCATGGTTGGAGGGAAGAGCAGCACAAAACTTGAAAACAGCAGACTGCCCTCGGTAAAGCCCACATGTAATGCCAAGCCTCAATAATGGACAGAACTAAAAACCAAAGAATAGAAGTGGGGCAAAAGTTAAACTGGGTAGGAAAGCACTAGATGATGCTGGACGTCCTCCAGCCAGGGAATGAGGCGGGCTCTGTCTGACTTGCTGCAGCTTCTAATGCACATTATTTTTTTTTTATAAATTCTTTATTTTATATTTTAAATACCTTGACGGTGATCACAAAAGAGATAAACAAGTGCTTGAATAACAAATAGTTGCTCGTTCAAGCGGTCATAGAGAGAGTGCTTCAAATGCATTGCGATGTATATAATAAAAATAAACAAATTAAATATTTAAAGCGTTTAGGAGGAGGAAAAAAAAAAAAGTGGAGAAAAAAAAAAGGGGAAAATATTCCACCTGCTCAGCTGATCAGTGACCCATAAGTATCTCAAAAGGGGGACATGTAAGTGTTCAAGTGCTTATGAGAGCAACTGTGAATCCCAGGGAGGTGTGTAGGGAAAGGAAGGGGCTTCTAACCCTAAGTGAAATGACATCCTGTCAATAACATGCATAAAAAAATGTTGTTTTTAAAACTTTGCACAGCAAAACAAACCATAACAAAAAATAAAACCAATACAGAATACCGTGTTGGGCAAGTGAGTGAGTAGGTTGTGTGGGTTAGGGGTTGACTAATAAAGAAGAAAGAGAGAGAGGGAAAGAAAAAAAAAAGGAAAAGGAGAGAGAAAAAAAAAATGGGGGGGGAAAGGGAGGGGTGGGGGCATGCGAGATAAATGGCCCGGTAGTTACTAGGTCACTGAAAAAGAGAAAAATGATAGGACAAATAGCTAAGAAGGATAAGGAAACAGGAAAGGTAGGGTAGGGATGGGATAGAGTTACCCATCAGGAGCGAGTCAGTGTTCTCCTATCTGAGGGTAAGGTAGTCAGGGGAGCGAATGTATTCCAGCCAGGGGAGCCAGGTTCGAGCGACTGAGGCAGAGGTACTGTATATACTCGAGTATAAGCCGAGATTTTCAGCCCATTTTTTTGGGTGAAAAGTGCCCCCCTCGGCTTATACTCAGTGTCTAATCAAGGAGTGGGTATAGGAACGCAGCGGGATGGTATTATGGTGGAGGAGAAAGAAGGTCGGCTCTTCAGGTACCTGGACATCCGTAAATTTCTGGACGAGAGCGCGTACTTGCTCCCAAAACCGTCCTAGAGCCGGGCATGACCAGAAGATATGTAGCATTCCTGCCCCGGGTTGTTGGCATCGTCAACATCGGTCGGGTGACTCGGGGAATAGTGTGTGAAGGGATTGTGGAGTACGGTACCATCTAGTCATGATCTTATAGCCCGACTCTTGATATCTATTAATAATCGAAGAACGATACGAGAGTGTAAGTAATTTCTCCATGGCTTCCGAGGTAAAGCTGGTCTGTCGTTCTCCCTCCCATCGTGATATAAACCACAGATCATCTGGGTTCAGTGGTTGGATCAACAATCTATAGCATAGGGAGAGGGTGTGTCGGGGAGACTTAACTTGTGAGCAAAGTTGCTCAAATGGAGTAAGGGGTCTACAGGAGTGTCGCATTAAGGGGTTCCTGTAATGCACATTATGAGAAGCTCCCAGTGTGCAGTGACATCAGAGTAAGAAGTTTCAGTCCAGGAGAGGAGACGGTACAACTGTGCAAGACTGACATGAAGGCCGAAGTTAAGCTTTAAGTACCCCCAATCTATACAAAACAGCAAAAGTTTTGGCTGGACATACACATTAATGTTCAGTGAAGCAATTGGTACAAAAAATAAAAATAAAATCCATTACAAAGCATGGAGAAAGTGGGACATGAACAGGACCCTAATGACAATGAACTTACCATCTTTGTCAATGGTGAACGGCACGTCAGGTGTCACTATATCGTAGCTGCAGATCTGGCTGAACTGTGGCGAGCAGTCGGCGTCCACAGCCTCCACTTGAAGGATGTTGTCATATTTCTTCCCCTCGATGACCGTGGCCTTGTATGATTTCTCCTTGAAGACTGGAGCGTACTCGTTCACGTCATTCACTTGGATGTGTACAGTGGCCCTGCAGAAAGGCAACAATGCATGATGGATGAGACAACCTGCACACACGCACTCACTGGGGGGCTAATAAGTGGAAAGAAAATGCCGGGGAGAATAGGAGTCCCGCTGGGACTGTTCTCTGCTGCACGACAACTCTCTGCCACCTCTCCAGCACCCAGACATACCAAGCCAAGTGTAAAAGCGCTCATTCATTTGAAAAATCAAGACTCCCTTGAAGTGAACTTGTCATCAGGCATCAGAGGATGTTCTATGTTTGACAGCTGCCATTTCAAGATGACTGCATGCAGCTTTCTTACCAACACCGCTCCTGTGCACACCAAGCAGCCCGATAGACCTGGAACCTGCTATATACAAATCTAGTCTAGCAGATCATTTCAACTGCTGTGGCAAGCCTGCTGCCCCCCACATTGCAAAGCACACTTCTCTGCATGGGTCTCACTGACAGTAAGAGAGGCAGTGCTTTGCATTGTGGGATATAGGAGAGGCTTATATCAGCACTCGATTTGCATACAGCACGCACATGAGCTCAGGGATCATGGACGCATGAAATCGAGGCTAAAGCAAAGGTGCCTGCGCTCACGACACAATTTCATGCATTTTCTTTCTTCCATGACAAGTTCACTTTAATAAACCTTCATGGCTTGTTCACACCAAGTGCGGAGCAGAGCAGTTACAGAATGCATCAAAAACTGCATCCAATGTATTCCAATGAACCGGCAGGTAAGATTCCATTCCTCATCATGTGACCCCCAACTGTTCCATTTTGCACAGATCCCATCCTACTCCTTTAGTTTCTCATCAAAATTGCTCTTAGGTTGGATGATAAATGTGTGAAATGCGGTCTACCTCCCGCCTATTTAATTCACTTATCGTGGCACTGCTCAAAACTGGTGAGATACTGGACTGAGATTCTTGAGGTGCCGAGCTTGCCAATTGGCCAGAAAACCGGCTCCGTGACTCCTCGTCACCTGATGACGAGGAGGCATGGAGACGGCTTCCTTAATGGGACTTGCGATATCCACGAGTACCGGGGGTATTATTGGTACTCGTACTTGATACTGAAAAACCGGTATCGGTGCATACCTACTTGTTTTATACCATGCCCACGGCAGTCAATCAGAAGTTCCCTTTCACTGCCAAAATTAATTTCAGAACCCCAATCTGATGGCTTATGGCAGTGCAAGAACATTTCACAAAGCTTCATGAATGATGTGCAGTGAATTAGGTAGAGTACATGACATAAGAATCTCAAACACAACCTTACGCTAGGGCAGACAGGTTGGCTCATAAATCTGGTGGCCAAAGTGAACACATTTGGTAATTCAAGTTCCCCTTTAATCAGATGGCATCAGTAAATGTTTTGGAATACAATTAAGTACATGAGATATACCTATGGGTGACTGAAGTCAACATTTTAAAAGGGGCACAATTTTTAATAAAAACAGAGCAAAATATGTACATAAATTACTGCGTGCGTCACATAAAACGTTAATTTATACACTAAAGCAGCATTTTAAACATTAATGGGGAGTGGCCGGATCTGTGCTGGAAATTAGCTTCAGGTATCAGATCTTATGGGCATAGGAAAATTAAGAGACGCATCCAATATCAAAAATAATGTCAAATAAGAAGGGCAGAACACATGAAAGCTTTTATAATTAATAAAACCCAAAACTGATAATAAAAAAGGATGTGAGCAGCAGTCAGTAGAAAGCTATCCCCAAACTCTCACTCGTTGCTGGGGTGAGAATGGTCCCCATGTAAAAGGTACTAAGGAACTACCAAAATGGCACATTCACAGGTTGTATCAAGAGTTTACTTTCCCCTCACTGGCTAATACCTTGGGCAACTTCTAGCATCCAGAGAACTGGTTGAGAAGGAGGGAGATTGAGCACCTTAAATGTGCAGTCGTTAGTTTTGCATTTTATTAGCGCCAAAGCAAAATGGAATGGCCCAAGCGCTTTGCTCTAGATGTTCCCAGGTAGTTTTTTTTTTTACCTTTCACCTGCTTTATTTTTATTCAGGGCACCTTCACATTTTAACCAGCATTTGGGTAAAAGACAACTGCTGAATCAAAATGATGAGGGCCACCAAAGTTTTCCTTGGACTGCGTGGGGGCCTTCTTGGGCTCCCACTATCTCATTCCCCACCATCAACATTCTCCACACAAAGAAAGAATATGCAGATCCATTCAGATTGCCTCCTTCATCAGCACTGACCACATGACCTATCAAGTCACCGTGCTGCCCAAAGACATACGATCATCTGTAAATCCCAAAACGACTAGCGGGTATCTCTTCTACAAGCCCTCACAAACCAGGTAAGAGACCTATAACCCAAACACACCACCATCACCTTTACCACCATTGTCCTTACTTGTGAGACTTTTTGGCACTTGATCCATCTGGTCCTTTCCCGCAGTCATAGGCCTGGATGGTAAATGTATAGTCCTTCTGCAATTCGCAGTCCAGTTTTTGCGTGGAGCGGATGACCCCCTCTCCGGTGGACTTGTCTACCACCACGGCCTCAAACGGAACGTCCTGGTCGTGGATCTTAAAGCCGCAGATTTCACCTAACGGGAATGACAGAAGGTTGAGGAGGTTACGGTCTAAGGCTTGGCAGGTCTAACCCTTTCTCCGCCAGGGTCCCCCTCAAAAAAAACTGGAAAACCGAGCTGAGGAAAGGCAGGTGGGAGACACGCACACAAACGGGGCAAATTATCAAACACAGAGTTACGGACATAACCAAAAGAAGAGAGAAAACATGACTTGTTCAGCAGCCAGGGGGGGGTGTGAGGGTCTGTGGACAAGGCAGAAGCATTGTGCTTTTGTTTTTTGTTTTTTAATGATAAGGTGATTGTCCTAGTCAAACATATAGCAGATACCTGCCTATCAAGCAAGTCCGAGTTATATTGCATCCACTCATGCAGGAGTATAAAGAGAAAAAATAAAATGTATATAGACAGGCATTTCACAGGAGTACTTGAAATTTAGACTGAAAGACAAAAAGAAAGAATGATAAAAAAAGAGAGAGAGAAGAGAGAGAATGAAAGCAGGCATGCAGCCTGGAGGCTGATGTTTATATAGAGACTGCTCTCTGCCAAGCAATGGCAATGCCGAGTTAAAGGGTTAGTCCCCTCAAATTTGATAGTTTTGGTTATGGGTGAATACTGGTGAGGTGAACCATCCACTGAGGGATTTGGTAAGGGGAAACCTCATCGCCAAGGTTTTGGTGCCTGGCTTTCTCTCCACGGACTTGGCTGCCTTCTACATATTGCAAAAGACATTTCCAGCACAGTGAAAACTCTTCTTAAAGTCACAAATCACACCTCGTAGGTCACTAGAGATGTCAGGAAGCAGTGGATTGTTCACCTCGCCAGGATTTACTCAAACATGTATCAGTGTTGGGTAGACTGACCCTTCAACCAGTGCAGAGGGTTATAATGCAGAGTGTGAGAGATGAGGAAGCTTCAGCGACACCTCCAGCACCTTTACAGTTTCAAAATCTGTTATAGAAATGGAGCAGAGGAAAGAACACTAAAATATAGGTGAAGTCTTCCTGTGCAATGAACCTGGCTAATCGGGGAATCAAAAGCAAAGGAAAAAATAAAACCTTTGTAATGCAGAAATATCAGAGGCTCAGACATCCATTTCAATAGCGGTCTACAAGAAGGCAGAGCTGGAAGAGGTACGACACTTGTTCCCGTATCCAATTCTTCTTATTAGAGGGGGGTGGTAATAAAGTAGATGCATGAGGAAGGTCTTCTATAGATAGGATTTTACAGAGGGCTGTTAACATTGCTGTCCTGAGGGCCAGACTAGATGACTCCGTCCTCATCATCAGGTCTATAGAACACCTCAAA